CAGGGGCCCCATGATCCCCTATTGCCCGGGGGCCCCATGAGTTGTCAGTCCGCCCCTGGTTCCACTAGATTTTAGTTAGGGGTATCAGAGTAAAGGGGGCTGAATACAAATGCACATCACACCTTTTAGATATTTATTAGTAAAAAAATGTTTATGTTTAAAACCATTTATCATTTTTTTTCCACTTCAACAATTATGTGTTGGTCTATCACATACAATCCCAATAAAACACATTTACGTTTTTGGTTGTAACATGACAAAATGTGGAAAATTTCAAGAAGTAGGAATACTTTTTCAAGGCACTATACATACCTCAAAAAGCCTGACTGGAAAACTCTCAGGACGTTGCTAAGGATGTTGCTAAGAGAGGCCTAGCTGTTACCACTGTCCCTGATTTAGAACAAAGTTCCTCTGACCCTCTTTCCTCTTCATTTGAACCTCATTTTGGTCTGATAGTTGTATATAAAATGCACTTTTTATCTTTCAAAAGGTGTTTCCCAGTGCTAAATCATTCATCCATTTTCTAAACTGCTGCATTTGTAAATTTCAAAAACTAGTATAAAAGATCAGTAGTAGTAAAAAAAAAAAAGACACTTGTGGATTCACCTTATAATTGTTTTGTATAATTCTCTTCTAAGGGGGCGTGTCCTAATCTTACATATTTTTGCTAATAGGTGTCCACCATTTCCATCTCAAAAAGTTGAGAGGTATGTGTTACTGTTCACCCCACCATCAAAGGAGTGAGCTCTCAGACGCTGAGTTCAGAGCTACTGTCAGGGGAGAGAAAGTGCATGTGAAGGGGGTTTGAATTAGAGAAAGAGCTCACTCCTGTGATAGTGAAAGTGAACAGTATTACCTGGGCCTCACTTAACAACAACTTAGCAACGTCCTGAGAGTTTTTCAGTCAGGTTTCACGAAGTACGTAAATGACCTACCCCTATAGCAAGGATATTACAGGTGTACCTCGGTTTACAAACGCCTCAGTTAACGTAATGTTCGGTTTACGAATTAAAATCCATTGAAAATAATGCCTCGGTTTACAATTTTATTTTCGCAATAATTTAATTGGTTTTCGTTGCATTTACGAATTTCATTTTAATCATATCCCTGTACAGTATTTATGCCATTAAAATGCACTTTATAAAGAGTTTTGAACAGATAAAAGACTCTTTTTTTTTTTTACTTTTTTCTGACCCAGGAACGGATTAATTGGTTTTCAATGCATTCCTATGGGAAACCGCGCTTCCATTTACAAATTTTTGTAATACAAAAAGTCCCGCAGAACGCATTAAATTCATAAACCGAGGTACGCCTGTATTCAATTTTGGTCAGAGCTGCACAGTTTGTTTTTAGCTACAGACACCCCTTCTCTGCATAAAATGTTTTTTGGTAAAGGTGAAGTAACCCTTTAAGCGTGACTTCTTTCCTCTCTTCCTCCACTAATAGCTTTCCATTGGATAAAACATAAATGCTCTATCCTGACACCACAAACAAGAAATGTATGTACAAAGACACCAAAAAATGCTCAGAAATCACCTTAACCACTTCCAGTCAAGGACACTTTCATCCCCTTCCTGTCCAGGATAATTTTCAGCTTTCAGCGCTATCACACTTTGAATGACAATTGCGTGGTCATGCAACACTGTACCCATATGAATTTTTTAGCATTTTTTGAGACAGATAAAGCTTTATTTTGGTGGTATTTATTAACCGCTGGGATTTAATTTTTTTTGCTATGTAAATGAAAAAGTCCAAAAATTTTGAAAAAAAAGTGTTTTTCTTATAAAATTTTGCAAATAAATAGTATTTCATCATAAACCTTGGCCAACATTTATTCTGTTATCTTTTTAGTAAAAAAAAAAATAACCCAAATTAGTTTATAACCAAAAATTATAATTGTTAAACATTTTTTTTTACTTTTTTTTTATTATTATTTGTTTTTTTTTACATACTGTCACCCTAGCAGTACAGTGTCACCATGGTGACACTGTACTACTTGTGGGGGGTGATGAAGATTTTTTTTTTTTACACTGATTGCTTTTACACCCATAAAGGCTGTAAAAGCAATCATTTCTCCTCTCTAGCTGCATTCTTGCAGCCATTGAGAACTACTGAGTGAGCTGTGATTGGTCACAGCTTGTCACATGGTACAAGGCTGTTGTGAATAGCCTTGTGCCATGTGACCTCTGTGTTTATTCACAGATTTCACACGTAGTAAGCAATGATGTCAGAAGTGACATCTTGCTTACTACTCTGCATGTGATCACTGATTGGCCAATCAGTGGTCACATGATCGGGACCTCACACAGAGGTCCTGCCCGACGATTGGTGTTCCACTGTGTCCGGAGGACACAGCGGGCACTGGATCACGGTGCTGCGCGCTCCAAGGGAGCGTGCATAAGCAGGGTGCGGGGAGGCCGTTTATAAACGGCCACCTGACCCTGCACTGTCACCGTCCGGCTATTTATATACAACGGCTGGGCGGGAGGTGGTTAAAGTGGAGTTAAACCCAAAAGTGTAAGCTCTGCTTATGCTCCTCCGTGGTCTTCACAAGAACCCGCTTCCACTTCCGGGTCAGTTAGACGGCAAACTGAGCAGGAACTTTGCTCCATAGAGGAGAATGGAGGTTCCAATCAGGTCCACCTGAAAAAAGGGAAGACCCGATCGGAACATCCGAGCGAAGGAGGCCTAAATTGTATTAGCCCTTGCTAACCAATCAGTTTTCTATTAGTATAGAAGGAACATTCTGATTGGTTGTGATGGTTTTGTTCAGTCAACCATATTCTTGGCCTTATCTCCCATTCACACCTAGGTGTTTTTTGTGCGTTTGCACAAGCGTTTTTGCATGCGATAAAGGCTTCTGCAAATGATCTTTTAGCCAACGAAAAACTAATTGGAAACTCGGGCACTGCCCGAGGGCCCGGGGTCAGAAGGGGGCCCCATGAGATGCCCCTGGTACCTTTTTCATAGACTTTTTTGAGTTTGGCCAAGGACACGGGCCCCATGATCCCCTATTGGCCGGGGGCCCCATGAGTTGTCAGTCCGCCCCTGGGCGGCATATATGCATGTGGCCAGTGGCAAGGAGTGCAGAAAAAAGTGCACAATGCAAAATGCAACAATTGGCACTGTTGTCATCCTACCGCACACTGGCAGCTGCATTCTAACACCTCCACTGGTGTGAACCAGCCCTCAGGACACCATCACAGCGCTGGTTCAGAGTTCCCCTGCACCAAATATATCTGCTTTAACCAGGTAAGGAGGGAATCTATAAAGATGGGCAGCACAGTGGCTAAATGGTTAGCACTTCCGCCTGGCAGTACTTGGGTTGTTGGTTCAAATCCCAACCACAGCACCACCTGCCTGGAGTTTGCATGTGTGGGTTTCCTCTGGGTACTCCGGTTTCCTCCCACACTCCAAAGACATGCTGGTAGGTGAATTGGCTCCTGTCTATATTGTCCCTAGTATGTGTATGTATGAATGTGAGTTATGCAGGCCATACACGGGTCAAAAATCGTCCGTTTAAAAAAAAACAAAAAAACGTAAAATCAGTCGTTCGATTGGCCGACGTTACCACCAACGGTAAAAAAAAAAAAAAAATCGGCCGATTTTCGTCCCGTCTATGGCCGGCGTTTGACCCCATAATTACTTCTGTCAGGGGAGCACACAGGGGAGCAATACATAGAATAAGAAGAAGAATAAAAGAAGAAGAATTCCAGTCCGCTATTATATTTTATATGAAAAGTCCATTGTATCCATTTCGGATACAAATGGATACATTTGTTGCAACCGCAGGACTTTTCATATAAAATATAATAGCGGACTGGAATTCTTCTTTTTCTTTTTTTTTTCTTGCAGGTCACGGCTCATGCGCAGATTTTTTATCGGGAAAGTGATCAGACAATTTGCCCATCATTGCCAGGAAAATCGGCTGCAAATTTTCCAACATGCCCGACAAAAAGAATGTGCAAAAACCCCGAAAAACGGCCGACCAATTAACCCACTAATGGTGCGAAAATCGGCTGATTTTTTTTTTCCGGCTGAAAAATCAGTCGATTTTCGACCTGTCTATGGCCAGTATTAGGGACCTTAGATTGTACGCCCCTTTGATTGTTAGGGACTGATGGGAATGTACAATATGTATGTAAAGTGCTGCGTAAATTGATGGCGCTATATAAGTACCTGATATAAATAAATATCAGGGTTGGAGGGAGGTAGAGTGAAAAAATAGCTTTTGTCCAGAATAGTCTTTAAACCAGAAAGCCCGTGTCTATGTCACTTCCTGTGCACTGAACTGAAATATCAAACAATGTTATCAGCCTTTTCAGCTATCCACTTCCCTATGCTATGCAAATGAGAAGGGGAGTAGTTCTGTAGTACTGATCAGGAGTGCACAGTAGGGTGACAACGCTGCTCCCCCATAGATACAGCACAGTCAGTGTTGTCACCCTAGGACAAGAAGGCTACATTTTCATGCCCACATGAGATACTGAGCCTTTATGATGGAAAGAACTGAAACACAATGAATAAAAAGGCTGGTTGGGGAGGAAAGGGCTAGGTTATGCTGGACCAGGGGCGGAATGATCATCTGAAAACTCGGGCACTGCCCGAGGGCCCAGGGTCAGTAGGGGGCCCCATGAGATGCCCCTGGTACCTTTTTCATAGGCTTTTTTGAGTTTTGGCAAGGCCCCATGATCCCCTATTCCCCGGGGGCCCCATGAGTTGTCAGCCCGCCCCTGTGCTGGAGGTCCTCCAACCAGGAAATGAGGTGGAGCTCTATCTGACTTCTGCAGCTGCTAATGCACATTGTGAGAAGCTCACAGTGTGCAGTGAAATCAGAGTCCCGGAGAGGAGCTGCTACAACTGATGGAAGTGCCGGAGGTCAGATTTAAAGTGAATAGCAGACAATCGTGACAGACACAACACCAGTGGAAATTTTTATCGATTTTATTTTTTGTCCATGGCACAGATCCCTGGATTCCTGCTGAGCCTGTTGGATTAGTTCACAGAGGTCCACCTGTCTTCTTCTCTTTGAAGGGAGGGGTACAGAACACGAACATTACCGTCAACAGGAGCCCCAGGAAGAGGATGACCAGGGCCACCTCGCGCAGTCGCTGCGCACACAGGGCCGCATCTTCCTGCAAAAGACATAGCAAGTGACCAGTGACCGCACTGTAGAGGATCACTCTATACTGCTGTGTAAAGGTAAGTTAGGACACCACACACCTCCCTGTGTCATGGATGTGCCCACTTTGTGTCCTGCACATATCAGATCAGCACCCCCCCTGCTCTCACTGGTTCCTCTTGCTGACCTCCATGTCATTACAGGAGAGAGTTACTGATGGTCAGCTAAAGAACATGTAAGGGCTGTGGTGGGCCCAGGAGATCGACACTCCCGGAAGTGTCAGTTTTCAGCAAATTCAGGGAAACATTCCTTATGAATGTTATTATTATTATTATTATAGAGGATTTATGGCGCCAACAGTTTGCTCAGCGCTTTACAATATAACGGGAGACAATACAGCAACAATACAGTTCAATACAAGAGGGATAGGAGGGCAGTGTTCATGGGTATGGGTGGCAGGAAAGGCAAGCATTTACTCTCCTCCTTTACAGGGATGACTTACCTGGAGAACTTCAGAATAGGGACAGGGTCACTTTATTTGCTACTATATGCTATTTGTGAGGGCCCATTCATATAATGTTCATTGCTCAACACAGACTCAACACACCCTGTGCCTGCGTGGGTTTCCCCCAGGTGCTCCGGTTTCCTCCCACACCCCAAAGACATGTTGGTAGGTGAATTGGCTCCTGTCTAAATTGTCCCTAGTATGTGTATGTATGGATGTGAGTTAGGGACCTTAGATTGTACACCCCTTGAGGGTTAGGGACTGATGTGAATGTACAATATATATGTAAAGCGCTGCATAAACTAACAGCACTATATAAGTACCTGAAATAAACACAGTGACAAGCTGAAAACTATTGTTTCTTGCGTTGATAAACGCTCAGGAAAAATGGAATGTATGGTATATAAATACAGCGCAGCACAGCGTGCATTATAGCACCACTCCATGCAGGAAAAAAAAATTACCCTCTCAATGCAAAAGTAAAAAGTCTTATCTCATTCCTTGCTCCAGCAAGCTTCCTCCTTCAGTGTGTTCATTCCCCCCTCTTCTCTATGGTGTTCTGGTTGACAGGAACATCAAGAACAATGTGGGAACCATAGTCCTGCATTGAACGTGAGGAAGGCAAGATTCTACCCCCAACCCAGGGAGTGGGAGAGGAGAGAAGAACGCTGGCAGGCGGGACAGCGAGGAAAAGGGTGGGGGACGAAAAGGACGTCGATGACAAAACGCGTAGGGCGGAGCTTGATCAATGTGACGTCATTACGTTTTCCCACGAGCTACCGCGCATGTGCTGAGTAGCTGGGTCTGTTTGCTGTGATTGCTGTTGACGCTGGTGTCGGCCGGGACACCCTTTGAGTTAAGTGCAATGAGTACCTAATAAAAGAAGTTGTTTTTAATAATACTGCACCATGCAGTTCTTCTGTTTCTTCCGAGTGTCTGGCATTTCCCTCCTTGGATACGTTTAAAGGTGGCTTTCTTGAGAAGTGGATTTCCTTGATGATATTTGATTTGAAAGCATTTTGCTCCATCTGAAATTGGTCTATGTGGATCTGGGCTCTGCAGAATATTATTCCTTGAAGATACATCTATGAATGACTTATCATTTATTAATACTACTGTTCCCAGAGCAATACATGGTTTAGGTTTATTAGCTCTGGTGAGTTTATTCATTTTTTGGTGGTGGTATTGTCACATTTATTTATATATTTTTTTGTGCACGTTTTTTTGTGTCACATATTTTAAAGTGTGGATTTTTTTGTTTTTGAACATTTTTTATTTATGCACTATTTATATATTTGATTTCTGGATATATTTTTATATATTTACTAGCGCAAATTACTTTTTTGTGGTATTTGCCACATCTTATTTACTTACGGTGATTTTTTGCAGCTGGTATATTATAATAAGTGATTTATAGATATATATATATAGATATATTTCTCCCTTTTTTCATAGGTGCCATTATATATATTTTTTCGAGGAAAAGGGTGTGTATGAAAATCTTTTCTTTTATGACTTAGCTTTAAAATGTAAGTTACTCCAACATTTCATATTTCTGAAATGTGCCTTCTTTACCATGTACTTGTGTGAAGTACATGGGGGTCTGATGGGATGGGGGAACCTCTGATGTGATGGGGGGGCCTCTGATGTGATGGGGGGACTCTGATGAGATGAAGGGGCCTCTGATGTGATAGCAGGCCTTTGATGTAAAGGGGGGACTCCGATATGAAGGGGGAACCTCTGATGTGTGGAGGGGATCTCTGATGTGATAGGGGCCTCTGATGTGATAGAGGGCCTCTGATGTGAAGGGGGGGGGGGCTCTGATATAAAGGGGGGCGATGTCTGATGTATTAGAGGGCCTCTGATGTGAAGGGGGGGCTCTGATATAAAGGGGGGCGATGTCTGATGTGATAGAGGGCCTCTGATGTGAAGGGGGACTCTGATATAAAGGGGGGCGATGTCTGATGTATTAGAGGGCCTCTGATGTGAAGGAGGGGCCTCAGACATAAAGGGGGACCTCTGATGTGAGGGCCTCTGGTGTGATGAGGGGCCTCAGATATTAAGGGAGCACCTCTGATGTGAAGAGGGGATCTCTGACGTGAAGGCGGGACTTTAATGTGAAGGGGAGACTTTATTGTGAAGGGGGAACTTTATTGTGAAGGGGGGACTTTATTGTGAAGGGGGGGCTCTGATGTGATGAGGAACCTCAGACATGAAGGGGGACCTTTTGATGTGAGGGTCTGTGATGTGATGAAGGGCCTCAGATATTACGGGGGCACCTCAGATGTGAAGAGGGGATCTCTAATGTGATGAGGGGCCTCTGATGTGAAGGGGGGACTTTAATGTAAAGGGAAGACTTTATTGTGAAGGGGGGGCTCTGATGTGATGAGGAACCTCAGACATGAAGGGGGACCTTTTGATGTGAGGGCCTCTGATGTGATGAAGGGCCTCAGATATTAAGGGGGCACCTCAGATGTGAAGAGGGGATCTCTGATGTGATGGGGAGGCCTTTTATGTGAAGGGGAGACTTTAATGTGAAGGAGGGACTTTATTGTGAAGGGGGGCCTCTGATGTGATGAGGGGCCTCTGATGTGATGAGGGGCCTCAGATATTAAGGGGGCACCTCTGATGTGAAGAGGGGATCTCTAATGTGATGGGGGGCCTCTGATGTGAAGGGGGGACTTTAATGTGAAGGGGGGACTTTAATGTGAAGGGGGGACTATGTGTGAAGGGGGGACTCTGTTGTGAAGGGGGGACTCTGTTGTGAAGGGGGGACTCTGTTGTGAAGGGGGGTCTCTGATGTGAAGTTAAAGAGGATCTTTTAAAAAACAAACACTTACCTGTCCCAGGATCCAGCACTGTGTTCACCCCAACCCAGCTCTTTGCTGGTCTTCGAGTCTAAGCGCTGGCATCTTAACTGTGGGCAGCCGGCTGTCCCCATGAATGGTCCCACAGTCCCCTGGACTTGTGACGTGCCCCAAGAAGCTGTGGGGAGAGGTGTGTGTGTGTGTGGGGGGGGGGGGGGGGACTTCCACTCCATTCACCAGAATGTCAGAGCAGAAGTGGGAGCGGGGAGCTGTCAAAATCACATACCTGCTCCCGTCCCCCCAAATATGGAGAGGAGGAGGGAGGAGGAAGGAGGGGAGGAGGAGGGAGGAGAAGGAGGGAGGAAGGACCTCCACATTTTTCAAACTTTGAACGGGTGCCAGGACAGAAGAGGTTGAGAGACTCTGTTGTGAATGGATATTTCAGACTGGGCCAGTGATGGAGTGCTCCTTACCTCAGGTATGATATTCTGTGTCAGGTCTCCATGATACACAAGGCACTTGGCGGAAGAGCTGGCTTCTGTTTCCAGCACATACAACTCCGGGACCACTGGGACAGCAGAACCATTCACAGGACATTGAGGGGACCATCTGTAAGGAGGAGGCAAGACGTCATCGCGGCAGGGTAATGTGCGAGGCAGTGGCAGCCCCTCCTTGTCAGCTATGGACATTGGAAGAATTTAGACAACAATAAGGCCGATCCTCACCTGCTTCTGTTCTGTAGATATAGAAACCAGAATTCCAAGTGCACTTGTTTCAATTATTGAATGTATGTTACAGTGAAAGTGGAGTAAACCTACAAAGACTGGATGGCTGTGATATATGCACTTGCAGGAGAGGCAGTGAGAGGGTCAGTTGCAGAATCAGTAGGAGGAGAATTGTGAAAACAACTCTTTATATAAAGTACTGTTGCCATGGTTGCAAGAAAGCAAAATGTGTCAGTTTCAGGAAATTGAGCCGCTGGAGTGATGCTATTTGTATAGTGCAACTCGGCAAACTTGTTTAGACTTTTGGTATGCCTTTGTGTGGGATGAATTAACTCCCCAGTGAGGAACGACCTAATCTTGAGTAGGCCGATCAAGATGGCCAAAGATGCTAAACCCAGGAGAGGATGTCGGCACCAGCAGGGGAGCTTTTGGATGTTGCATTGCTGGAATGGAGGTAAGTACTCTTCTGTTGAGTTCCCCTTTAAAGGACAGCTCTGGCTAAACTAAAAAAGTTGGACCACTACATATAATTACTCCAGCCACTGATGGAAAAAACAATATTCAATCCTTAGAAAGTGATTCATTACATTTTTATCATGTAAAAAGATTAGAGCTTCTTCCAAAATTTAGCAAAGAGCTTGAGTTCAAATTAGAGACATTTCCTGCAAAGTCTTTAGGTATATTTGGGTTTCGAGGTAACTGGGCGATGCAGGATGCTCTGGGGTCAGACGGCAATGCAGGATGCCCTTGGGTCAGAGGGCGATGCAGGATGCTCTGGGGTCAGTGGGTGATGCAAGATGCCCTTGGGTCAGAGGGCGATGCAGGATGCTCTGGGGTCACTGGGTGATGCAGGATGCTCTGGGGTCAGTGGGTGATGCAGGATGCCCTTGGGTCAGAGGGCGATGCAGGATGCTCTGGGGTCACTGGGTGATGCAGGATGCTCTGGGGTCAGTGGGTGATGCAGGATGCTCTGGGGTCAGTGGGTGATGCAGGATGCTCTGGGGTCACTGGGTGATGCAGGATGCTCTGGGGTCAGTGGGTGATGCAGGATGCTCTGGGGTCACTGGGTGATGCAGGATGCTCTGGGGTCACTGTGATGCAGGATGCTCTGGGGTCAGTGGGTGATGCAGGATGCTCTGGGGTCAGAGGGTGATGCAGGATGCTCTGGGGTCAGTGGGTGATGCAGGATGCTCTGGGTCACTGGGTGATGCAGGATGCTCTGGGGTCAGAGGGCAATGCAGGATGCTCTGGGGTCAGTGGGTAATGCAGATGCTCTGGGGTCACTGGGCGATGCAGGATGCTCAGGGGTCAGGGCAATGCAGGATGCTCTGGGGTCAGTGGGTGATGCAGAAAGCTTGGGGTCAGTGGGTGATGCAGGATGCTCTGGGGTCAGTGGGTGATGCAGGATGCTCTGGGGTCAGTGGGTGATGCAGAATGCTCAGAGGTCAGTGGGATGCAGGATGCTGGGGTCAGTGGGGATGCTCTGGGGTCAGTGGGTGATGCAGGATGCTCTGGGGTCAGTGGGTGATGCAGGATGCTCTGGGGTCAGTGGGTGATGCAGGATGCTCTGGGGTCAGTGGGTGATGCAGAAAGCTCTGGGGTCAGTGGGTGATGCAGGATGCTCTGGGGTCAGTGGGTGATGCAGAATGCTCTGGGGTCAGTGGGTGATGCAGGATGCTCAGGGTCAGTGGGTGATGCAGGATGCTCTGGGGTCAGTGGGTGATGCAGGATGCTCAGGGTCAGTGGGTGATGCAGGATGCTTTGGGGTCAGTGGGTGATGCAGGATGCTCTGGGGTCAGAGGGTGATGCAGGATGCTCAGGGGTCAGTGGGTGATGCAGGATGCTCTGGGGTCAGTGGGTGATGCAGGATGCTCTGGGGTCAGTGGGTGATGCAGGATGCTCGGGGGTCAGTGGGTGATGCAGGATGCTCTGGGGTCAGTGGGTGATGCAGGATGCTCTGGGGTCAGTGGGTGATGCAGGATGCTCAGGGGTCAGTGGGTGATGCAGGATGCTCTGGGGTCAGTGGGTGATGCAGGATGCTCGGGGGTCAGTGGGTGATGCAGGATGCTCGGGGGTCAGTGGGTGATGCAGGATGCTCTGGGGTCAGTGGGTGATGCAGGATGCTCTGGGGTCAGTGGGTGATGCAGGATGCTCGGGGGTCAGTGGGTGATGCAGGATGCTCAGGGGTCAGTGGGTGATGCAGGATGCTCGGGGGTCAGTGGGTGATGCAGGATGCTCGGGGGTCAGTGGGTGATGCAGGATGCTCTGGGGGTCAGTGGGTGATGCAGGAATGCTCAGGGGTCAGTGGGTGATGCAGAATACATGGGGTCAGTGGGTGATGCAGAATGCTCAGGGGTCAGTGGGTGATGCAGGATGCTCAGGGGTCAGGGGTGATGCAGGATGCTCGGGGGTCAGTGGGTGATGCAGAATGCTCGGGGGTCAGTGGTGATGCAGAATGCTCGGGGGTCAGTGGGTGATGCAGGAATGCTCGGGGTCAGTGGGTGATGCAGGATGCTCGGGGGTCAGTGGGTGATGCAGGATGCTCGAGGGTCAGTGGGTGATGCAGGATGCTCGGGGGTCAGTGGGTGATGCAGGATGCTCGGGGGTCAGTGGGTGATGCAGAATGCTCGGGGGTCAGTGGGTGATGCAGGATGCTCAGGGGGGTCAGTGGGTGATGCAGGAATGCTCGGGGGTCAGTGGGTGATGCAGGATGCTCAGGGGTCAGTGGGTGATGCAGGATGCTCTGGGGTCAGTGGGTGATGCAGGATGCTCAGGGGTCAGTGGGTGATGCAGGATGCTCTGGGGTCAGTGGGTGATGCAGGATGCTCTGGGGTCAGTGGGTGATGCAGGATGCTCTGGGGTCAGTGGGTGATGCAGGATGCTCTGGGGTCAGTGGGTGATGCAGGATGCTCTGGGGTCACTGGGACCATGGATCTCTTTATCATTTGAGGCGAGAGGAGACCCAGCACTGGATCGGGGAAGAGGTTAATGTGCCACACAGGGTAGAGGGATGTTGGTATTGCCATGTTCCTTGTTACTGCACTACAAATGATCATGTGACTATAGTAAAAGAACAACCTAGCACTGATTGTAAAAGAGTTTAGCGAGTGCACTGTGATGGCTCTCAGTATCTACAGAATGGAAGCAGGTAAGGGGCTGCAATAAAGTTTGCTGAAATGTTTCCAAATAGAAAGGTGACTTGTGAGGATCTCTGTAGCCACAACGTTCACTGTGTACAGCACAGCTCCCACTTACGATGTCTGTGGCAGAAGTTCTCGAGGACCGGTCAAGCTGACACAATATTTCACAGCGCACTCTACTTCACTGCCGTTACACTGGATGTACCCCCAATAAGAGGTCAGAGTAATGGTCAGGGGGGTGTCCGCATCAGTACCTGTGAAAATAGAAGATTGTGTAATACAGAATGAGTAGAGAACACCCCAAACGCCAGGGAGAGACACTCCTACAGAAATCTACATGAAAAATATACAAGATGTATACTGAAGACTCTGCGCTCGGAATTACTATAAAAAACAAAGCAGCTTGTACAGATAGGCAGACAAAAAGGATATGGTGAAAAGTTGCAGCGCTAATTAGAACATAAAGTCCCAATCACAAAAAAATTACAATATAATAGATGACAGCAAAGTCCATGTGGATGTCCCATATACAGAAATGAAGAGCCTACATAGGAAAGGGGTTCCAATCCAAAGAAGAGATCAGCACCATACACCCAAATAAATTGGCCTCTTACCAGAAGAATTGACCGTCCCAACGGGTCGGCCGACATAAGTAGTGTAATAAATCCAGCAGGTACTGAAACCGGTTCTTGTTCTCCTCCAAAAAAGATTTTCAAATGGCAAACTACCCATCAGGCAACCAAAGCACCGCATGAAAAGAAGAATTGCCAACTCATAGTGTAGCAGATTAATAGCTTAAACCGATTCATCTGAATTGCACTTACATAGCAAGCATAGATATCAGCATAACACTGTGATCGGTTTCAAACCAACAAGATGTCCGCTGTCTCTTCAGAGCGCGATGACGTCACACCCTACGTGTTTCTTCATCAAAAGACGACATCAGGGGCAAGGCCTGCACGACGCATTGCGTGATATAAATAGGACAAGGAAGGCCACTCCCCTCATTGAGGAGCATACCACAGCCCGAAAGCGCCACCTCAAACCGGGAGATGAAAGCAGAAAAAAAAAACCCACAGAATTGGAGGGGTAATCATGTCAGAAGGGAAATTTCAAAATTGGAAACCTTATGGATGTATTCCCTTAAGAGTAATGTTCCCTTTCGCCTCAACATTTGAGTGGGATGTAAATGCCTTTATCAATAACAGGTAATTTTATATACTTTTTTATTATATTCTTGTGAAAGCGCAGGTCATGCCCCTGACGACGTCTTTTGATGATGAAACGCGTAGGGTAGAGCCATGCTGTATGACATCATCGCACTCTGGAGGGACAGCGGACATCTTGTTGGTTTGAAACTGATCACAGTGTTATGCTGATATCTATGCTTGCTATGTAAGTGCAATTCAGATAAATCGGTTTAAGCTATTAATCTGCTACACTATGAGTTGGCAATTCTTCTTTTCATGCGGTGCTTTGGTTGCCTGATGGGGAGTTTGCCATTTGAAGTTCTTTTTGGAAGAATATCTTGGATGATCCTGTGAGCGTTTCCTATACAAGAACCGGTTGCAGTACCTGCTGGATTTATTACACTACTTATGTTGGCCGACCCGTTGGGACGGTCAACTCTTCTGGTAAGAGGCCAATTTATTTGGGTGTATGGTGCTGATCTCTTCTTTGGATTGGAACCCCTTTCCTATGCACAGCTCTTCATTTCTGTATATGGGACATCCACATGGACTTTGCTGTTATCTATTATATTGTCATTTTTTGTGATTGGGACTTTATGTTCTAATTAGCACTGAAACTTTTCACTAAAAATATACAAGAAAATGTGATCAAAGTAACTCCATTTTTTTTTTAAATAAAAATTGAGGTTTGGGTTTCTCCGAAGCCAGCAGGAATACTGACTGTACTGTCTGATCAATAGACAGCTACTAGAGGAGAATGAGCTCTTTATGAAATACAATTGTAATAACAAGTAACATAAAATATTACTTTCATGGAATTCTTGCAATAATGGCTTAAAGTGTTACTAAACCCAGGACCCTGCATTCTCTATATCCGCTCTCCCCGGACCCCGCATTCACTATATCCGCTCTCCCCGGACCCTGCATTCACTATATCTGCTCTCCCCGGACCCCGCATTCACTATATCCGCTCTCCCCGGACCCTGCATTCACTATATCCGCTCTCCCTGGACCCTGCATTCACTATATCCGCTCTCCCCGGACCCCGCATTCACTATATCCAGTCTCCTCGGACCCTGCATTCACTATATCTGGTCTCCCCGGACCCTGCATTCACTATATCTGCTCTCCCCGGACCCCGCATTCACTATATCCGCTCTCCCTGGACCCCGCATTCACTATATCCGCTCTCCCCGAGACCCTGCATTCACTATATCCGCTCTCCCCGGACCCTGCATTCACTATATCCGCTCTCCCTGGACCCCGCATTCACTATATCCACTCTCCCCGGACCCTGTATTCACTATATCTGGTCTCCCAGGACCCTGCATTCACTATATCTGGTCTCCCTGGACCCCGCATTCACTATAGCTGGTCCCCCGGACCCTGTATTCACTATATCCGGTCTCCCTGGACCTTGCATTCACTATATCTGGTCTCCCCGGACCCTGCATTCACTATATCCTCTCTCCCCGGACCCCGCATTCACTATATCCAGTCTCCTCGGACCCTGCATTCACTATATCTGCTCTCCCCGGACCCTGCATTCACTATATCTGCTCTCCCCGGACCCCGCATTCACTATATCCGCTCTCCCTGGACCCCGCATTCACTATATCCGCTCTCCCCGGACCCTGCATTCACTATATCCGCTCTCCCCGGACCCTGCATTCACTATATCCGCTCTCCCTGGACCCCGCATTCACTATATCCGCTCTCCCCGGACCCCGCATTCACTATATCCGCTCTCCCCCGGACCCTGCATTCACTATATCCGCTCTCCCCGGACCCCGCATTCACTATATCCACTCTCCCCGGACCCTGCATTCACTATATCCGCTCTCCCCGGACCCTGCATTCACTATATCCGCTCTCCCTGGACCCCGCATTCACTATATCCGCTCTCCCCGGACCCTGCATTCACTATATCCGCTCTCCCCGGACCCTGCATTCACTATATCCGCTCTCCCTGGACCCCGCATTCACTATATCCGCTCTCCCCGGACCCCGCATTCACTATATCCGCTCTCCCCGGACCCTGCATTCACTATATCCGCTCTCCCCGGACCCTGCATTCACTATATCCGCTCTCCCTGGACCCTGTATTCACTATATCTGGTCTCCCAGGACCCTGCATTCACTATATCTGGTCTCCCACAGTACACAGAACATGGAAATACAATTATTTCAGTAAATATAAACTGCTAAATACCTTTTACAATCAGCAGTATATAGCAGTCTTGTGACTTCAGCTGAGCACTGGTTAAAACTTGTAGAAGGAGGATGCAAAACCCCTGACCTCTGCTAGAGAGTGCTGATTGGCCCTGTGCTGATCACATGCACTCTCCCAAGAAAAAAAAAACATCTCTAGCAGTACACACTAAACTAAGCATGTGCAGAAGGGCTACAGGTTCAGTCTGTCTTATCAGGTGAACATTTGAACAAGAGGAGGGGCAGAGAAGTCATACTCACTGTTATACGGGCTGTTTGATCCTAACAAGCATGCCTTACTGCATATACAGACTGATTTTACTGTTGTGGGTTTAGTAACACTTTAAGATAAGTTCGATTTACAAAGCTTTTACCCAGGGATAAAGATCTTTATTTTTAGCCATGTGACTGTCGGTAACGATCAGCCTTGTGCCTTCACCATCTGCTAGTTGTTATCCAGTACTATAGCTCCCATCTCTGCATAGCACACCTACCCTAATTAGGAGTGTTTAAGTAGGCTGCTGTACATTCACTCCTGTGCCTCGTAAAAGGGTTGTCTGCCTATGCATGACTTGGCTAGAGGTATGTCTGACTTTTCATGTCCTGGATTACTGCTGTGAACTGTATGGACTACAATTACATTTAGCTGTTCTGTATCCACCCTTATTGTCACACACAGGGGCACATAAGGAAAGAGCAGAGAGTAGTCCAGGTTATTTCAGGAGTATAACTTAGGGTAGAAAGGCAGCAGTAGGTACAGAAAGTGGAGCGCAGCAGGCCAGATGACTACAGAGCGTGCCAGAGACTGCGTGGAAACACAAGGGCATAAAGGAGTACTAGTATGTAACAGAGGATGCACACGGGGTGCACTGGAATCGGGTGCACTGTTGGGTTGCCATCTCTTCCCTGTAAAACTAAACACATAATTACAGAGGTTCTGGGGCTGATTAAGGTGGTAATTAAAATCACTTAATTGTCTTATCTGCGTTAAATAAGCCTCAGAACCTCTGTAATTATTATGTGTTTAGTTTTAAAGGGATGAGGTGGCAACCCTAGTGCACTGGGATCACTAGATGACACAGCATGCTCTGGGAAGCACTGAAATCATGGGGTGCACTGGGATCACTAGATGACACAGCATGCTCTGGGAAGCACTGAAATCATGGGGTGCACTGGGATCACTAGATGACACAGGATGCTCTGGGAAGCACTGAAATCATGGGGTGCACTGGGATCATTAGATGACACAGCATGCTCTGGGAAGCACTGAAATCATGGGGTGCACTGGGATCACTAGATGACACAGCATGCTCTGGGAAGCACTGAAATCATGGGGTGCACTGGGATCACTAGATGACACAGGATGCTCTGGGAAGCACTGAAATCATGGGGTCCACTGGGATCATTAGATGACACAGCATGCTCTGGGAAGCACTGAAATCATGGGATGCACTGACGTCACTAGATGACACAGCATGCTCTGGGAAGCACTGAAATCATGGGGTGCACTGGGATCACTAGATGACACAGGATGCTCTGGGAAGCACTGAAATCATGGGATGCACTGACGTCACTAGATGACACAGGATGCTCTGGGAAGCACTGAAATCATGGGGTGCACTGACGTCACTAGATGACACAGGATGCTCTGGGAAGCACTGAAATCATGGGGTGCACTGGGATCACTAGATGACACAGCATGCTCTGGGAAGCACTGAAATCATGGGGTGCACTGGGATCACTAGATGACACAGCATGCTCTGGGAAGCACTGAAATCATGGGGTGCACTGGGATCATTAGATGACACAGGATGCTCTGGGAAGCACTGAAATCATGGGGTGCACTGGGATCATTAGATGACACAGGATGCTCTGGGAAGCACTGAAATCATGGGGTGCACTGGGATCACTAGATGACACAGCATGCTCTGGGAAGCACTGAAATCATGGGGTGCACTGGGATCACTAGATGACACAGGATGCTCTGGGAAGCACTGAAATCATGGGGTGCACTGGGATCACTAGATGACACAGCATGCTCTGGGAAGCACTGAAATCATGGGGTGCACTGGGATCACTAGATGACACAGGATGCTCTGGGAAGCACTGAAATCATGGGATGCACTGACGTCACTAGATGACACAGGATGCTCTGGGAAGCACTGAAATCATGGGGTGCACTGACGTCACTAGATGACACAGGATGCTCTGGGAAGCACTGAAATCATGGGGTGCACTGACGTCACTAGATGACACAGGATGCTCTGGGAAGCACTGAAATCATGGGGTGCACTGACGTCACTAGATGACACAGGATGGTCTGGGAAGCACTGAAATCATGGGGTGCAATGGCGTCACTAGATGACACAGGATGGTCTGGGAAGCACTGAAATCATGGGGTGCAATGGCGTCACTAGATGACACAGGATGGTCTGGGAAGCACTGAAATCATGGGGTGCACTGACGTCACTAGATGACACAGGATGGTCTGGAGTGCACTGAAGACATGGGGAACACTGGTGTCACTAGATGTACTGGTGCCCAAACGACATTGGGTACGTTGACCAAACTGGAGACACTGGGTGTACTGGCACACTGGAGTCATAAGCTACACCAGGAGCACTGGAGACACTAGGTATACTGGAGTTCCAAGTGTACACTGGGCACACTGGAGTCTCAGCGTACACTGCGTGCCCTGGAGACACTGGATGTACTGGAGCACAAGTGTGTACTGGGTGTACTGGAGACACTAGATGCATGGGGCGCACTGGTGACACTAGGTGCACTGGGCACATTGGAGTCTAAGTGTACATTGGGTGCACTGGAGACACTAGGTGTACTATGCGCACTGGAGACACTAGGTGTACTGGGCGCACTGGAGACACTAGGTGTACTGGGCGCACTGGAGACACTAAGTGTACTGGGCGCACTGGAGACACTAGGTGTACTGGAGACACTAAGTGTACTGGGCGCACTGGAGACACTAGGTGTACTGGGCATACTGGAGACACTAAGTGTACTGGGTGCACTGGAGACACACTAGACACTAAGTGTACTGGAGACACTAAGTGTACTGGAGACACTGGAGCCTAAGTGTACACTGGGTGCACTGGAGTCACTAGGTGTACTGGGTGCACTGGAGTCACAGTCAAAGTCTCAGGGTACAATGATGTCATGCACAGAGGTAGGTACAACATCCTGGATTTGATAAGAATGGCACTTATCAATAGCTCGTTATCTCATCTGTTCTCAGTCTGTGCTCCACACCTGCCTTTTGGTCAGTTGTCACCCCAGGTGATGCAGTCAACCCAATGAACTCCTTGGCACTATAATTTTCAAAATGTCATCGGACTCAGCTGCAAAGAACTGTCACTTTTTCTTTTGAAAATAAGGATCCTTATCCTGGTGTGTTAGCTTAGTGAGTCGTACACACCAGAGTGCCCCTTCAGTGTTCAGAATGAAAAGCCGTCTTGAAGAGGTGAGAAATGTGTGCCCTGTTCTGGTATGAGGAAGTGTGTACTGGGTACTGGGACACTAGATGCATGCACTGGAGACACTAGGTGTATGCATGGGTCGCACTGGAGACACTGGAGCCTAAGGTGTGCACTGGGCACACTGGAGTCTAAGTGTACACTGGGTGCACTGGAGACACTAGATGTATGGGGTGCACTGAACTGGAGACACTAGGTGTGTACTAGGTGTACTGGGCGCACTGGAGACAAGGTGTACTGCACTGGAGACACTAGGTGTACTGGGCGCACTAGGACTGGGCGCACTGGAGACACTAGGTGTACTGGGAACACTGGAGCCTAAGTGTACACTGGGTGCACTGGAGACACTAGGTGTGTCTGGGTGCACTGGAGACACTAGGTGTACTGGGCGCACTGGGACACTAGGTGTACTAGGTGTACTGGGCGCTACTGGAGACACTAGGTGGCACTGTACTAGGTGTACTGGGCGCACTGGAGACACTAGGTGTACTGGGCGCACTGGAGACACTAGGTGTACTGGGCGCACTGGAGACACTAGGTGTACTGGGAACACTGAGACACTAGGTGTACTGGGTGCACTGGAGACACTAGGTGTACTGGGTGCACTGGAGACACTAAGGTGTACTGGGCACACTGGAGACACTAGGTGTACTGGGCGCACTGGAGACACTAGTGTACTGGGCGCACTGGAGACACTAGGTGTACTGGGCGCGCTGGAGATACTAGGTGTACTGGGCGCACTGGAGACACTAGTGTACTGGGAACACTGGAGCCTAAGTGTACACTGGGTGCACTGGAGACACTAGGTGTACTAGGCGCACTGGAGACACTAGGTGTACTAGGCGCACTGGAGACACTAGGTGTACACTGGAGACACTAGGTGTACTGGGCGCACTGGAGACACTAGGTGTACTGGGCGCACTGGAGACACTAGGTGTACTGGGCGCACTGGAGACACTAGGTGTACTGGGCGCACTGGAGACACTAGGTGTGTACACACTGAGACACTAGGTGTACTGGGTGCACTGGAGACTAGGTGTACTGGGTGCACTGAGACTGGTGTAGACACTAGGTGTACTGGAGACACTGGAGCCTAAGTGTACACTGGGTGCACTGGAGTCACTAGGTGTACTGGGTGCACTGGAGTCACAGTCAAAGTCTCAGGGTACAATGATGTCATGCACAGAGGTAGGTACAACATCCTGGATTTGATAAGAATGGCACTTATCATTGGCCTGTTATCTCAGCTGTTCTCAGTCTGTGCTCCACACCTGCCTTTTGGTCAGTTGTCACCCCAGGTGATGCAGTCAACCCAATGAACTCCCTGGCACTATCTTTTCAAAATGTCATCGGACTCAGCTGGAAAGAACTGTCACTTTTTCTTTTTGAAAATAAGGATCCCTATCCTGGTGTGTTAGCTTTAGTGAGTCGTACACACCAGAGTGCCCCTTCAGTGTTCAGAATGAAAAGCCGTCTTGAAGAGGTGAAAATGTGTGCCGTGTTCTGGTATGAGGAAACACAGGACACCACACAGGAAGATCTGGTCACATGACCACCACTCAGACCGTGTAGCATTTCCTGAACTGTAAATCTCAGCAACCACAACCAACAGCAGCCAGGGATGATCTTGGGGACTGCAGCGTGAATGCCAAAAACATTAGGATACATTTCCACACACCAGTGTATGGATTCTATTTTTAAAGGTCCAATGAGATTTGAAAATCACAGTCACATGGCTAAAATAAAAATCCTTATCATTGGGAATGGACAGATTTTTTTGCATAGTTACACTGGTCCAATGTATGAATGAATATGCCATACATATGGGACTTCTGTGGAAGCGGAGACACCGCTACTACAGTGACCGCTGCTGTATTCTGGGTCCTGTGCCGAGCAGCTGCCCAGCTGCATAGTGAACGCAAGGGGTTGCTCGCTCAGCAGGGGCACCATTCACAGAATGCCTTGTATTTTTCTCAAAGAATACATTGCATTCTCTGATTGGCCAAGGTGGAGGTGTGGGGCATGACATCTTAGTCTCTATCTTATCCAATTAACCACTTCAAGTCCGGACACTTTCCCCCCTTCCTGTCCAGGCCAATTTTCAGCTTTCAGTGCTATCACACTTTGAATGACAATTGCGCAGTCATGCAACACTGTACCCATATGAATTTTTTAGCTTTTCTTTGAGACAGATAAAGCTTTATTTTGGTGGTATTTATTCACCACTGGGATATTTATTTTTTTTTGCTATTTAAATGAAAAAGTCCAAACACTTTGAAAAAAAAGTGTTTTTCTTATAAAATGTTGCAAATAAATAATATTTTATCATAAATCTCGGCCAAAATTTATTCCGTTATCTTTTTAGTAAAAAAAAAAAAATAACGCAAATTAGTTTATAACCAAAAATTATATATATTTTTTTTTTTTTTATATTATTATTTATGTTTTTTTTTTTTTACATACTGTCATCCTAGCAGTACAGTGTCACCATGGTGACACTGTACTACTTGTGGGGGTGATGAAGATTTTTTTCTTACACTGATTGCTTTTACACCCATAAAGGCTGAAAAAGCTATCATTTTGCTTTTTCTGCAAGCATTGTTGCAGCCATTGAGAACTACTGTGTGAGCTGTGATTAGTCACAGCTTGTCACATGGTACAAGGCTACTCCTAGATTGTAAGCTCCAAGGATCAGGGCCCTCAAATCCCTCTTGTATTGAACTGTATTGTTGTTGTATTGTCTCCCTTTATATTGTAAAGCGCTGAGCAAACTGTTGGCGCCATAAATCCTGTATAATAATAATAATAATAATAATAATAATAAAAGGCTGTTGTGAATAGCCCTGTACCATGTGACCTCTGTGATCATTCACAGATTTCACACGTAGTAAGCAATGATGTCAGAAGTGACATCTTGCTTACTACTGTGCATGTGTTCACTGATTGGCCAATCAGTGATCACATGATCAGGACTTCGCACAGAGGTCCGTCCGACGATCGGTGTTCCACTGTGTCCGGGGGACACAGCGGGCCCCGGATCGCGGTGCTGCGCGCTCCCAGGGAGCACGCACAAGCATGGGGCAGGAAGGCCGTTTATAAACGGCCACCCGACCCTGCACTGCCACCGCCTGGCCGTTTATATACAACAACCGGACGGGAGGTGGTTAAAAACCACACCCATGCTGAGCGTGATAAGACACATAGCAAGCATCATACAGTCAAACTGACCTGTCATGCCAAGCTGGGCGCCAGTCGCTATTATCTGCAAGTTGCTGTGATTGAGCGCTAGTTGCCATGGAGAGACGGTAAAAGTGACCAGCACAGACACATTGGCGCTGTTCTCAGGATTCACAGTCCTAGTCTCATCCACAGTGGTGATGTGACGGCTACCGTTACCCTGAATGCAGACCTTACCCACGGTGAAGGCTTGAAGGACGCCACCCCAGTCCTAAAAAAAAACAGGGAGAAACCAAGAATTAGCAATGTGCTGTATATCACACCTTGCCTCTCATTGTCAAGTTTTGGTTTTGGTTTTTTTCTTGCACTGAAGCACTGAACCCAGGACTGGAACCAAACAGGTTAATCTCACTTTGGTTATTCAAAGTGAACTTGTCACCCATTCTAAAAATGTAAAAGTCATGTCCAAGGGCAGATGCTGCAAAGTACATGTCAATGTGTTTAAGTTGGCCATACACTGGTGGTGGGGGTGCAGGGCAGCACAAGGAGTTGTACCACAGTGCTCATTTGCTAACAAAAGGCATGCTGATAGAAGGAGGGAGCAGAGTGACAGGGAGATAAGCTCACCAGTCTTCTGCTTTCACTGTCCCATCACAGGCTGGGGGAAGGACAAGATCTTTAAATGTTACTGAACTGTGGCAGAGAAAACTCAGGTCTCCTGCCCTGCCAGACAGGGTTGTGCTGTGTAGCAGAATAGCAGAACTATACTTGAGCAGTGCATGCTGGGAATCCTTCCTCCTTTTTCCTGTCCTGTAGTTTACCAGCATGCGCTAGGTATCCCTCCTCCTTCTCTGTAGTTCAGCACTGTGCCCTGGGGATCCTTCCTCCCTCTCCCTGGCCTGCAGTTCACCAGCACACACTAGGGAGCTCCGTCCACACTCTCTGTAGTTCAGCAGTGTGCGCCGGGGATCCCTCCCCTCTCTGTACTTCAGCAGTGTGCGCCGGGGATCCCTCCCCTCTCTGTACTTCAGCAGTGTGCGCCGGGGATCCCTCCCCTCTCTGTACTTCAGCAGTGTGTGTTGAGGATCCCTCCCCTCTCTGTACCTCAGCAGTGTGCACCAGGGATCCCTCCTCACTCTCTGTAGTTCACCAGTGTGCACCGGGGATCCCTTCCCTCTCTGTACTTCAGCAGTGTGTGATGGGGATCCCTCCTCTCTCTCTGTAGTTCAGCAGTGTGCACTGAGGATCCCTCCCCTCTCTGTACTTCAGCAGTGTGTGTTGAGGATCCCTCCCCTCTCTGTACCTCAGCAGTGTGCACCAGGGATCCCTCCTCACTCTCTGTAGTTCACCAGTGTGCACCGGGGATCCCTTCCCTCTCTGTACTTCAGCAGTGTGTGATGGGGATCCCTCCTCTCTCTCTGTAGTTCAGCAGTGTGCACTGAGGATCCCTCCCCTCTCTGAACTTCAGCAGTGTGTGCTGATGATCCCTCCTCACTCTCTGTAGTTCAGCAGTGTGCGCCAGGGATCCCTCCCCACTCTGTACTTCAGCAGTGTGTGCTGGGGATCCCTCCTATCTCTCTGTACTTCAGCAGTGTGTGCTGGGGATCCCTGCTATCTCTCTGTACTTCAGCAGTGTGTGCTGGCGATCCTTCCTCTCTCTCTGTACTTCAGCAGTGTGTGCTGGGGATCCCTCCTATCTCTCTGTACTTCAGCAGTGTGTGCTGGGGATCCCTGCTATCTCTCTGTACTTCAGCAGTGTGTGCTGGGGATCCTTCCTCTCTCTCTGCAGTTCAGCAGTGTGCGCCAGGGATCCCTTCCCTCTCTGTAGTTCAGCAGTGTGCACCGAGGATCCCTCCCCTCTCTCCCCTTTTCTGTACTTCAGCAGTGTGTGCTGGGGATCCCTCCTCACTCTCTGTAGTTCACCAGTGTGCACCAGGGATCTCTCCCCTCTCTGTAGTTCAGCAGTATGCACCGGGGATCTCTACCCTCTCTGTACTTCAGCAGTGTGTGCTGGGGATCCCTCCTCTCTCTCTGTAGTTCAGCAGTGTGCACTGAGGATCCCTCCCCTCTCTGAATTTCAGCAGTGTGTGCTGATGATCCCTCCTCACTCTCTGTAGTTCAGCAGTGTGCGCGGGGATCCCTCCCCCACTCTGTACTTCAGCAATGTGTGCTGGGGATCCCTCCTATCTCTCTGTAGTTCAGCAGTGTGCGCCAGGGATCCCTCCCCCTCTCTGTACTTCAGCAGTGTGTGCTGGGGATCCCTCCTATCTCTCTGTACTTCAGCAGTGTGTGCTGGGGATCCCTCCTATCTCTCTGTACTTCAGCAGTGTGTGCTGGGGATCCCTCCTATCTCTCTGTACTTCAGCAGTGTGTGCTGGGGATCCCTCCTATCTCTCTGTACTTCAGCAGTGTGTGCTGGGGATCCCCCTACTATCTCTCTGTACTTCAGCAGTGTGTGCTGGGGATCCTTCCTCTCTCTCTGCAGTTCAGCAGTGTGCGCCAGGGATCCCTTCCCTCTCTGTAGTTCAGCAGTGTGCACCGAGGATCCCTCCCCCCTCTCTCGGGGATCCTTCTCTGTACTTCAGCAGTGTGTGCTGGGGATCCCTCCTCACTCTCTGTAGTTCACCATTGTGCACCGAGGATCCCTCCCTTCTCTCTGCACTCTGTACTTCAGCAGTGTGTGCTGGGGATCCCTCCTCTCTCTCTGTAGTTCAGCAGCGTGAGCCAGGGATCCCTGTTCCCCCTCTGTAGTTCAGCCGCACTTCCTCCAGCCAAGCCCATACCTCCTTTTGAACCTGACGCTGGGGAAATGTTTTGCGAGAGCCTCTACATTACACCTGCGGTGCACTGACTGTGGGTGCAATGCTTTGCTGGAATCACTGTATAAATAGTAGTACACATTAATCATGAAATCAGAGTTGCATTTAGCACAATTTTTTTGCAAAAGTTGGACATAGCCTTTAAGGAGATGATTTGTTGATAACTTTTGTTACAAAGACTGACTTCCCGGGTTTCTACATCTGTTTAATTGGGTTGCCTCTTCCATTAGAGTCCACTACACATATCTTTCCTCCCCCCCCCTGGACCCCGTACCTGGGTAAAATCCACGTCACTCACTGGCTGCGTCTTGATGTACACTCCGAGAGCCAGGTAGGTGACACCAAGCGTCACGACACATATAAAAAATGTGACGAAAGGAGGATGATGAAGGACGCAGGATCGCAGGCTCTGACACGACGGCCACAGCATGGTACACCAAGGATGGACCTGGCCTCAGCCGGAACACCTGAATGAAAAAAAAGGTGAACCTTAGATGGGGGTCATTATCTACTATCCCATGACCTGCTACCATACCTTGGGACTTTTGGCTGTGCCTGGGCTGGAGATTAGTAGGGGGTGGAATTGGAGGCAGGGGCGTATTTACCACAAGGCAAACAAGGCATTTACCTAGGGCGGCATTTTTCAGGGGGGCAGCATCGCTCCCAGGAAGAAAGGACTGAAGAAGGGACACATGCGGCATAGGGACCAGGTGGGATCCAAGAGAGGCTGTAGGCTGCTTGATGGTGTATGCAGAGCCCGACTCAGGGGTGTTGTTGGTCAATATCAGGTTCTCTCTGCAGGGGAAGGGGGGGATTTGAGTTTTGCGTTGCGTAGGGCAGCACAAAACCTAAATACACCACTGATTGGAGGTCATTATGAGTTGCAGTGGCAGTTTGTTTATGTCTACATCTTCCCCTGGATCCCAATGCATAGTTGCCAACTGTCACGGATTGTCCAGAACAATCACAAATTTTTGAATGATGTCCCGCCATTCCTCAGTCCCCGCCAGTGTCCCAGAACTCCGAGATCAGGGCGGAGGCAGCAGCAGATAGGGGTTCCTAATTCTGCAAGAGCCTAGAGTGGTTAAAAGATGAACACTTTCCTGGCCTTATTATTTGCCCAGTGGGAAGGGAGGTCCCCGCGGCAGACTTGGGGGCTATTTCTCCATTTTCGGGAGTGGCAGAGTAATCTGTAGCACCACTGTTTCTTATTAACCCCTTGACGCCGACGTCACACAAATATGCGGCCTCACAGAACTGGGCTTTTTTCCGTGGGGCCACATATTTGAGTACCTGTCTTTGTGCTGGGAGCACACCGCTCGTCGCACTCCCAGCACAAAGACCGTGGTGTCACTGACAGCTAACGATCAGGACCCAGGACTCCCGATTCCGGGTCACATGATCGCTGTGATAGCCTCTGATTGGCTATCACAGTGATCAGTCACTGTACAGCCCAATCCCCTTGTTTTTTTTTCTCTCTCTATGAATGGAGGAGAGAGATACATTGTATCTCTCTAACTCCTGGCATAGAGAGAAAACAAAATGTTAAAAAAAAAAAAAAAAAAAAAAAAAGATAAATAAATATTAAAAAATAAGGAAAAGGTTTGATCTAGTTCAGTTCCAGGGTTAGTGTGTGGGTCAAGGTCAGGGCCAAAGGTCAAGGTCGAAGGTCAGGATTTAAAAAAAAATTGGTGTCAGTTAGTGTCAATGTCAGTGTGTTTTAGGTATATAAAAAAAAAGACAAAAACAAAATGCGCACTACACCGCGTTCCAAATTATTATGCAAATTCTATTTAAGTGTCACAAAGATTAAATATTTTGTTTTTCAGTGTAACTCATGGATGGCATTGTGTGTGAGGGCTCTTTTGATCACTGAAAACAATCTCGGACACCTGTGATAATTAGATTGGCCAGTGAGCCCAATTTAAGGAAAAACTACTGAAGGAGGGGTGTTCCAGCAGAGCACCATTTCCAAGCAATATGGGGAAGAAAAAAAGGATCTCTCTGCTGCCGAAAAGAGTGAAATAGTTTGATGCCTTGGACGAGGTATGAAAACATTCGATATTTCATGAAAACGTAAGCGTGATCATCGCACTATGAAGAGATTTGCGGCTGATTCAGAGCACAGACGGGTTGGTGCAGATAAAGGCACATTGAGGAAGATGTCTGCCAGATCCATGCATCGGATCAAGAGAGCAGCTGCTAAAATACCATTACATAGCAGCAAACAGATATTTGAGGCTGCTGGTGCCTCTGGAGTCCCACGGACATCAAGGTGTAGAGTCCTCCAGAGTCTTGCAACTGTGCAGAAACCTTCTATTCGGCCACCACTAACCAATGCTCACAAGCAGAAATGGCTGCATTGGGCAGAAAAATACATGAAGACTAATTTTCAAACAGTCCTGTTCACTGATGAGTGCCGTGCAACCCTGGATGGTCCAGATGGATGGAGTAGTGGATGGTTGGTGGACGGCCACCCTGTTCCAACAAGGCTGCAACGTCAGCAAGGCGGTGGTGGAGTCATGTTTTGGGCCGGAATCCTGGGAACAGAGCTGGTCGCCCCTTTAGGGTCCCCGAAGGTGTAAAGATGACCTCTGCAAAGTATGTGGAGTTTATGACTGACCACTTTCTTCCCTGGTACAGAAGGAAGAACTTTGCTTTCCGTAATAAAATCATCTTCATGCATGACAATGCACCAGCTCATGCTGCAAAGAATACCTCTGCATCAATGGCTGCTATGGGGATAAAAGGAGAGAAAGTCATGGTGTGGCCCCATCCTCCCCTGACCTCAATCCTATTGAGAACCTTTGGAGCATCCTCAAGCAAAACATCTATGAGGGTGGGAGGAAGTTTACATCCAAACAGCAGCTCTGGGGGCTATTCTGACATCTTGCAAACAAATTCAAGCAGAAACTGTCCAAAAACTCCCAAGTTCAATGGATGCAAGACTTGTGATCTGCTATCAGATAAGGGCTCCTATGTACAATGTAACGTGACCAGTTCAAATGTTTACAAAGTTACAATGTTGGGAAAAGTTTGATTGAAATAGCTTTTGATTTCAGTAAATATGCTGCAAACACAACAAATGACAATTTTCAGTTCTTTACAACCTATAAAGTGTTTTGAAACTTCCTGTGCGGAATAATTTGGAACAAAAATCCTGTTATCATTAGGAGGTTTGTTCAATAAAATTTGAATTGTACTCTGAGAACTCATGAGAATTATGCCGACTGTTATTTACATCAATTATTTATGTAAATGAGAAAAATATCAATTGCATAATAATTTGGAACACGGTGTATTGTTTCTGGGCTGTACTCCGGGTACAAACAACAAATAACACACACATATATGGTATCGCTGCGATCATCAAGAGCTGGAGAATTTATTTTGGGTTGTTCTTTAGTGTTAGGTTATGGTAGTAACAAGAAACACACAGCTAAATTAAAAATTTTTTTTTTTTTTTAACTTTTTTGGGCCAGTTTTCATTCGATAAAGAAAAAAATATAAGGAGATATCCATTACCATTTACCACTAAATAAAAGCCCAATTTGTCCTGAAAAAATCGCGGTATAATCCACACGGATGTACAAAGTAGTTGTGATGATCTGTACGGTTTTACTAACAAATGTCAACGTTGCAAAATTGTGCTTAGGCATTTAGATTTGTTTTACCCTTAGCATGAAGGGGTTAATAAACTAAACTCCTGGCCGGATTGCTTCGGTGGATTTATGTAGAAGAGGCCGGGACATTAGTTTAATGCGCAGGAGTCCACGGCGCCCCAAAAATGGAGAAATAGTCCCCAGTCTGCCGCGGCCCCCCTTCCCGCTGAGCAGATGAGGCCAAGAAAGTTTTTCATCCTTTAACTACTCTAGGCTCTTGCAGAATTAGGAACCCCTGTCTGCTGCTGCCCCCCGTCATGATCTTGGGATTTCCGGGACACATTCGCTTACATTCGTTCCACTAAAAAGCATACATGTTGCATATTAGCAGCAATGCAGATGAACGCAGCGTTATGGTGTCAATAGGACACATTGGAAATGACTGTTTTTTCAGAGGTCCTTCCATTGATCTGCGCTAAAAAAGCAGATGAATGCACTGGTGTGAATTTGCCCTCACACCATAGAAAGGCAGTCCAGATGCATTCCGGATGCGTTTCTGCATGAGCGTTTTTGATGCGTTTTGGTTAATTTTTTCCCCTTTTTCATCATATTAATTTCACCCATATTAATTTTTTTTGCATTTTTTTGAGACAGATAAAGCTTTATTTTGGTGGTATTTATTCACCACTGGGATTTTTATTTTTTTTTGCTATATAAATGAAAATGTCCAAAAATTTTGAAAAAAAAAGTGTTTTTCTTATAAAATTTTGCAAATAAATATTTCATCATAAATCTTGGCCAAAATTTATTCTGTTAACTTTTTAGTAAAATAAAAATAACCCAAATTAGTTTATAACCAAAAATTATAATTTTTAAATATTTTTTTTTACATTTTTATTTTATTTTTTAATATTATTATTTATGGTTTGTTTTTGTTTTTTTACATACTGTCACCCTAGCAGAACAGTGTCACCATGGTGACACTGTACTACTTGTGGGGGGTGATGAAGATTTTTTTTTTTTTTTTTACACTGATTGCTTTTACACCCATAAAGGCTGTAAAAGCAATAATTTCCTCTTTTTCTCTGGCTGCATTCTTGCAGCCATTGAGAACTACTGTGTGAGCTGTGATTGGTCACAGCTTGTCACATGGCACAAGGCTGTTGCGAATAGCCTTTTACCATGTGACCTCTGTGATCATTCACAGATTTCACACGTAGTAAGCAATGATATCAGAACTGATATCTTGCTTACTACTCTGCATGTGATCACTGATTGGCCAATCAGTGATCACATGATCGGGACCTCGCACAGAGGTCCCGTCCGACGATCGGTGTTGCACTGTGTCCGGAGGACACAGCGGGCACCGGAGCGCGTTGCTGCGTGCTCCCAGGGGGCAAGCAGGGGGCAAGGAGGCCGTTTACAAACATGCGCCCGACCGTTTATATACAACGGCCGGACGAGAAGTGGTTCATAAGGGACATGTACATTCCAGTGCATTTTTTATGCATTTTACCTCGTTCCAGTGCAGTTCTGTGCTGGAAAAATGCAGCCTGTTCTACTTTTTTTTTTTCTGCAACTGGAACTGCAAGTGCTCATGTGAACTATGACATTTACAACCAGATCACCTACTTTCTGTGCATTTTGGATGCAGAAAAAAAAGAAACTGAAACGCATGGAGTGTGAACCGACCCTTAAAGCAGTTCTCCAGTCTAAAGTTCAAAGACTGTAGCTGCTGACTTTTAGTAATAGGACACTCACCCAGCCCTGGATCCAACGCCGTCCTCACCCGGCTGGTTTCTTCACCGGGATTCAGTCCCCGGCAAGT